AGATACTTTTTCCCAGGAGAAAAACTATGCAGTAAATCTAAGATTACCTTATATTGTTCAGGTACAAGTGCCCAGGAATGGAGGTAGAACACAATCTTGTCCTAGGCTAATAAAATAGGCATTTTTCTTTCATAGAATGTTGTGTGTTTTCCCTCCCAACTGTAAATATAGTACTGTGGCAGAAATTTAGAAGAAGTTTTTGTTATTCCCATCAGAGGCAGTAAGTACCTGTAAGCTACACTCAGGCAGAAACTTACACAGTTGGGCCATTTAAATGGCATTCTGGGAAAACAGTTAAGCACATGTGCTGAGTGGCTTCCCTTGACTTTATATTTGCAGTATTCAGTGGTTTTCTCATTTCTCTTGCTCCTTTGGTCCCCGATTTGGCTTTCCCTCTCGACCTGAGGTGTTACCTTTTGACACATTCTTACAGGAACATTCACTTTTGAACAGGGCGTGGATTTACTACTGTTAGGGAGCTACACTTCATTTACATTCATTTTCATTCCATTGTACTATAGCTTCGGAAATCTAACTTGCAAATAATTCCTGCCTATGGACTTGAAAACTGAAAGTAGATCAGTAAAATCTTCGACAGTGTTAACATCTTTGCTGCTCTTTCTTGGCTCAAGAGAAGTCTGCATTTAGGCTAAACTGCGTTTCTGTGTGGGTTATGGGACCAACAGACATACTTTTGTAATTTATTATTGAGGAGAAGTCCTACTGCTTTGAACTTGGTTGGCCCTGGGTTTACTTTGTACAAAATGAGCTTCTTTTGAAGAGAAGTAGTCCTTCTGCATGTGTCTTAAATTGCTGTCTTCAACTGTTGCATTACTCAAGTTTTCCATTGCTGGACACAAAACACCAGATATCCTGAACTTAAGGAGGAGGAGTTTATTTTGGCTCACAATTTTCAGAGCACTCAGTCTCTTGTTAGCTGGTTCCAAGGCAGAAACAGCATGGAGGAAGGCATTGACCTAGTAAAGCTTTGCAGCCCATGGCATCCAGGAAACAGAGAGAAAGGGGTGGAGAGAAGGGAGTAGCTGGGAACAAGACTAAATGCTTCGGGGTCACACCCCAGTGACCCACCTCTGACCAGGCTCTACTTCCTTATGGCACAGTTAGCCATAAGGAACTATGAATGCATCAGTGGATGAGCCCACAAATGAGCATAGCACCCCCACAACCCAATCAGCTTTCAAAAGCCCCATCTCTGAACATGAGACTTTGGAGGAGCATTCCAGGTCTAACCTGTCACAGCTGTTGCATGGGGTCCCCTCTCTTCCTGTCCCCCTTTGTGCCCACTTCCCATCTTTGACATGACTGACTTCAGGGATACCAGGTTCACATCTCTGCTCGGATTCTATGTTAAAACTGTGTCTCGGGGCTGGGGATTTAGCTCAGCGGCAAAAGCGCCTGCCTGGCAAGCGCAAGGTCGTGAGTTCGGTTCCCGGTACTGGAGAAAAACCAAAAAAAAAAAAAAAACTGTGTCTCTACCATGATCGGGTTTACACAGGCGATCCAGAAACCTAGCATTCAAGTTATGCTTGTTATGAATCAACTGAAGGTCCTCTTCTCATTGGGAGCAGATGTCTTCAGGGCAGTGTTCTCTAAATGATTTCATGGAACAGATTGGTGTACAGATGTCTTGCTGTGAGTCTTTGGGCATCAATATGTAGGGAGGACAGAAGGTTGGACACAGAGATTTTTAAATTTGTTATGGATTGAGTGTTAATGATAGGAGATTAAAGATCCAGTAAGCTAACTCTATAGCGTACAGGTTTCACTCTGTCTTTAGGTTTTTCAGGTAAACAAGGTAATGTTCATGCTAAAGAATTATGGTTTTAAAAGACCTAGATAAATAATTCAGGGGCAGAGTTAAAATAAATTTCTTTTGATTTTCTCAGTATTCTGAAATAAAGCAACAAGTATGCCACTTGTGATGACTGAATATACATTATCTTTAGAGATGAATTCTTTCAGTCATCACCCTAAACTCATTGTTTTGGTTAAATCTTCCTTTTTCCATCTGACTAACATGAAAAAGAATGACGATGGCTCTTTCAATTTTTTTTTTTGATATTTTCTATGTTTGGAAAGTTCCTACACATAAATGAAAGGAAGTAAAACAAATGGTTGCTAAAACTATTTCAATCAGTTAGTAAAATTATTATTTGATGGGTATCAAGGAGATAAATGGAAGGTGTATTTTTGTAAAAAAGTAAGTTAAATAATTGATGTTCTGATATAAAGTCAGATTTAATGAGAATTTCTACACGAAAAGTTCTGAAAGTAGCCATGTACTAATTTAATATGGGAATTCCCATTTAGAAACACCTGTCAGTATCTACTGAATTCTTGGCTTTCTTTTAACACCGCCAGAACATGTTTTCTGTTTAAAACTGGAAACCAGTTATTATATATCCTTTTTCCTCCTCATTAGCCCGTTGGACTGGTCTTGCTTAGAGAAGCTGATCTCCTCCAACATGTAAACTAGTAGTACTGTAGGGAGAAACAGTTGACATATTTCTTTGCCTTGCTCTGGCTGGGTGATCGTTCATGTTACATAGGCGGAACAGTAGTTTTGCTTCAAAGAAGACTGTAGCAAGTCGGGAGACTAAGGTCATGAAGCTGTCAATCCAGCTGCAATAACAGTCTGAGTTTGACCTTTGCGGCACATGCATTAGCATGCTGCCCTCCTTTGCACTCTTCTCCCTTCAGGCCTAGCGGCTGTGTGACACTGGCAAGTGAGCAGGCTTAGGTGACATCATTTCTGCGTCTGCTTGAGCCAAGTCACTAGGTGAGATGCAGTACCTGATCTCCTCAGCATCTTCCCAAAGCTTTCTGGCAGACTTCACTGCTTGGGAAGCCTGGAAAAAAGAGACCTCATTTCTTAACAGAAATTTGAAACAATTTATTGAATAAATGCTATCGAATATATCGTATGTGACTGGGTACCGTGATCCTCAAGCTTTTAAAATTTACTAGGGGGTGGGGACTTGTTCTTATTTTGTGTTTCTAGATTCCTGATAGCTACCCTTAAATAATTAAATGTAAAATAATTAAATAAGATTAAATAATTATAGGATTATAAAATTAAATAATTAAATATAAAAACCGAGTCTTAACTTTACCATACCTTTCAGCCAGGTCTGAGTAATTTTTCTCTCTCTTTCACAAATAGCTCTTGTTAGGCTCTGCTGTATTTTCTTAAGAAACAATTTTAGACTTATAGTGAGAAAAGCTTATATGAATGCTTTGGCCGTTTTTTCCCTATGACTAATTTTTATTTTATTTTGTAAAGCTATCACACACCCAGAGTAATGGCACTATTCATTTTCAGTAACTGCTTGTTATATATCTGGCTTGAGTCAAGTGAAGATCCAAGTCATGAGCGTTCTTGGTGTCCCTGGTGTCTGATATATTACAGAATCAGCGATCAGACTCGGTGAGATACAAACAGGACCTGAGGCAGCTACAGTAATGGGTTGTCAATATTTTAGCTTCCTCACTCACACATTTTTTATTCCTCCCTCTACCTGTTCTGTTCACTTAAGTGTTTGCTACTTCTGCCTATGTCTTATAACTCATACATGTCTTGTACTCATAAGTGAAAAGCATCATTTACTTTGAGTTGAGCTGATTTTGGCAGATTGTTCCCCAAACGTCAATTTAAAAACCCTGAATTTTCTAGAATATTTTATTGTTACATTAAGCAATGTGAATGGTCTCTCTACTAATTGGACCTGATAATGACCAAAGTAAATGCCCACACTTTCCTTGTTAGTCAGTGAGTATGATGGTCTCTTTTACCTACATAGAGCTCTTGTGGCACTTATGGTGTCTGTGAAAAATTAGAGCCATGTGCCCAATCTGGGCTGATGAATTCCAAAATGTATGCCCTCTGGACAAAGCAAGTAGGAAGAGAGGTGTCCTCTGCTGTGTGCTGTCAGGCTGGCCATGACCCACATAGCCATCATGGCGGCCGTAAGCCTCCAACAGGAAGGCAGGAAGCAGAGCAGCATGCTGCTTCTGTCCTTCCTGACTTCAGACACCTGGGGGTTTTCTGACTTAACTGTTTGGTTTAATGGAGTTAATCCGCTTTGATGGCAGTGATATGTGAGAAGAGGCAGTCAGAGAATTCCTGTTTGATTCTAGATAAACAAAGGGAAGTAACGTTGGTGGCATTTCAAGCTAGCTTTCTTCTTTTGCATGCCGTGTTGCTTAGTACAGTCTTTCATTAAGGAGGAAACCTATTCCTTGGTCGATAACTTGAAGAATCTCTTGGTGAGATTTGTTCATTTAAAAGAATTTATTAAAAAGACATTTTGATTTTATTATCAAATGCCTCTGTGGTTAATAGGACTGTACACACAGTGTCATAGAAAAATATATATATATGAAATTTTTCTAAGGTGTCATTTTTATTACATGTTAATACAGACACTCCTCATTTAACAACAGAGTTCCCTTCTTCGGACTAGGTTGTGAAATGAATTGGTTCCTGGTGAGGAATTGTATATAGAAGCACAAGATAATATTCAGAACAAAGAAATGGTGAAAGGAAACTCCAACTTGGTGACTTTGCTTTTATTTGCATGACTCTTACATGCAGTACTGTAATTATAACAGGACTTAAATCTACATGACTGCACTGTACAGTACAATCAGCAAAAATTACAGCATTGTATAAGCAAGGTGTATTGTACAGAAAAAGACATTGCAGTTCTATAATCAAGAAGTACAGAACTGTACAGGAACACAAGGCAAGTCGTAAGTCAGACCAGCGTGCCTCAGTTGCACGTCTGAACAGACATTAAGCTAGTAGGTTGTTAGATGAGGAATAGCTGTAGTAATTATATCAAGTATCATATCTTTTGCTATACAGTGTCAGAATCTCTTGTCTTGCCATCAATAAAGTCCCCCCCCATTCATATTTATGAAAACAGGAAGGGAATAAATAATAAAACTTCGGGCTTTTCTTCCTTGTTTTCTTCCAGGTGATGTATTCCACATTACTGCTCCCAACAAGTTCACCTTTGAGGAGGCTGCGGAGGAGTGTGAGGTCCAGGACGCCAGGCTGGCGACGGTGGGGGAGCTGCAGGCTGCCTGGAGGAATGGCTTCGACCAGTGTGACTATGGGTGGCTGCTGGATGCCAGCGTGCGCCACCCCGTGACTGTAGCCAGGGCCCAGTGCGGAGGTGGTCTCCTTGGGGTGAGAACCCTGTATCGTTTTGAGAACCAGACAGGCTTCCCTCCCCCTGAGAGCAGATTTGATGCCTACTGCTTTAAACGTAAGTGTTTGATATCTTTTTAAAAATTACAGATTAAAAAAACATACTTCAAAGGCATGCACTGGTGTTCACCTAGCCACTGGAAAGGAGGCCAGGTCTTAGAGTATGTGCACAGCACGGAAAGAGGTCAGTGACTTCCGAGAGCAAGCAGACCGAATGGCAGTGATATGCGTAAAACAACAGGAAGTTTAACAAATGGATTTTTAGAGGGGATGAGGAAATGTCAGGTTCAGGTCTTAACTCGGAATCACAGAGCATATTTCTGAATACTTTCTATGAATTGCAGTCCTTAAATTCAGTTTTATTGTCTTAGTCCTACCTAAAAATGAATCAATATTTTTATATTGATAAAAAATCCATATATCTCATTTTATTTCAAGTAATAGAAAATGTGACTTTTGATTACACTCTATAGTGATTAATTCTATATTGATGATTATTTCTATAATCATGATTAATGTTTAATGATAAATTCTCTATTGAATTAATTCAAGTACACCATGTCCTCTTTGAAACATGTAACATAAATAGGGTATCTCTGTTAAGTCCACCACTTAAAATTAGTTTTAAGTAACATTTTTAACATTCATAATATCATTTTTTTTTTCAGGGCTGGGGATTGAATCCAGGGCTTTGTGCATGTAAGGCAATTGCCCTACCACTGAGCTACATCCCCAGCCCCATGATATCATTAAGTTTTCAGTTGTCTTTAAATTATTTTAACAATATTAGTCACATGATGGAGTACCATGATTATAAAAGGCTTAAAACAAGCAAGTAATCCAGAGTCTTACTGTGTTATTTACTGTAGGATCTATATTATACTAAACAGCAATTTTTTTGGTGACCTTGCATATCTCCAGCATGGAGAGATATTTGAACTCAATTGACAGAATTTGACTAAATTTTGCATACATCTCGTAGAAATATAAAATGAGTAAAGGGTTTAGTAGCTATTTTATACTTAGTTTCTAAAGTGAAATACACAGTCATTTTCCGTCAAGGAGAAAGACACAGAACTGTTATGTTTAAGTAGTCCACACAGTAGATGTCAGTACAGTGGAAAGATTTTATTTCTCACACTTGTGTTCCCCAGCTAAGATGCCCCTGCTCTCATCTCCCTGCTTGGGACTCAGCTGTCTGAGTGTTCAAGTCTTGTGTAGCATGTCAGTGCCACATGAGCCAGCTGATCTAGAAGAGGCCATAGAGAACATTAGCTTTTGTTCTCGGGCCTAGAAACAACAGTCTTCCCTAATCATTTTCAGGAAAACAACAATAACTAAAACCTGATCCTAAAAGCAGACAAATATGCATTCCTTCAAGCCACATTGTCACAAGAGTAATTTTCAAATAATTCTGGCTGTAAAATCAGTTTTACATTAAGTGAGTGATGAGACGAAGGAAAAGATTAGCTTAATATGCAGGAAGGAAGGGGTCGGAGACACCACAGTGGGGAAGGAACAGAACACCTACCATGATTATTGTAATTATTTTTCCTAGTGCAGTATAAAACTGGCACGAGAAAACTTTTCAACAACACGCCTTTCTACCTGACGGTAAAACTGAAATCCAGGCTTATCTGTAGCCACAAAGATTATTATCAAAAATTCAACCTTATGTGCCTTAACTTATTTATTTAAAGGAAGAATTCACATGAGTGAGTAAAATAATAACATGTGTAGATTTAAACAGAATAACTACTCACAATCTATATAAAATGGAAAAAAGGTTTGAAGGTTTAGATCTATTTATTTTTATTGATTCATTAAATGTATAGAACATGGAAATAGAATGGATTCATATTTTGGTGTTTTTCTACATAAGTTGGAGCCCCGATATTTGTTAATTCTTCCCTCCCTGAAACCGTATCTTATTCCGAATTCATTCAGCACATGAGAGGTTAAGAAAGTCTAGCCATGACACAAAAACCTTCCTTAAACTACATATAGTGCCAACAGCTTCCCAAATTTCTAACACATTTTGCAAGGATTCTTGTAACGTGCATTTTCAAAATGACGTAACTCTTGCCCACTTTTCCCACATAGTCCAGGGGTGACCAAATCCTGCAGGGAAAAGTTTATGAGTGTGGCCCTGTCTACAGTTCCAAAAGGGGTTTCAATAACGAACAGCTGGTTAAGCAGAGGAATTTGGAAGTGTATCCACATTTTCTCATTTGCTTTTATCAAATATAGAAAGTGTTTTTGTTAAAGCCAGTTGATGAATGAATGTTCCAAATCTTAGTTTGCTGTGCTTTTTTTCTCCCAGTAAATTCACTGAGTAGCACATTTACAGTTACCAGCAATAAATATAGCTAGAATGTATTCTGGTCACACAGATTTGATAAACAGGTAAGTGAATAGCCTTGTGAAGCAGTTTTCCTATCTATTTTCTCTTGATGATTAAATTAAACTGTGTGCTTTTTATTTTTCTTTGACCTCAGAATTATGCAAGCTCTGTGAAAGTTAGGAAGTCATAAAAACCTACAGGGCTTTGAACGTCCATACTATACATTCCCAAATCTGAATAAGTCAAATTCATTCAGGGCTCATGAGAATCTCACTTTTCATATTATTAATGATCCCGGGAACAAAAGACAAGGGCATATTTCCTGGAGAACCCATTCTAATATATACAGCTGTCACTCCTAGAGAGTTCTAATTATCTAAGGGTTTCCACGTTAGAACTTGAATCCACTTTTATGTTGAACACAACATGTAGATAGCAGCCATTTCTGTTGAGCACAATTACTTAATTATTGCTCTGCATCTCCAATGAAACAATTTCCTTGCTTTGACACATTAATTGAAATCTGTAATGATCACATAATCTCTGAACCCTCGCTACCTTTTACATTCCATTACTTGCTTATGTTTGGAACGAGTAGAAATAGTGTTCTAGAGCTAAATTAGTTTCTCTGACTTCCTAAGTAACCTTACAAATATATTCACATTTAAAGTTGGCCCAGCCTTCTAATCCATAGACACTTCATCACCTTTTTTGTTTTTATTTGACTTTTTGCCCTAAATCATAATCTGCTCCTAGGTGACAAAACTAATCCTTCCCTAATTTGTACTTAAAGTCTGTTTCTTGTTTATTAAACTGGAATCAGTTAGCTTTTATTACAAACTTTTCAAAGATAGTTTGACTTCTAATCCCACTTTTCGACGCGGTCCCTTTCCTCCACTGTAAATCCAGAGTCAACCCATTGAATATCCACTACCCTTGCTACTTCTCCGCATGTTTACACATATTTGTGGATATCTCTTTTAATATTGGAGAAGCAATTTAGAGTTCATCATTTCTCCATAATGTAGACAGTGTGAGGTATGAATTAAATTGACTATGATGTGCTAAGAGGGGTTTTACATTTTATTAGGAAAATCTGCCTCATGTCTCACAACAGAAGCTCAGAGAAGATAGTCTATAGAACATAAAATACTATAAGTACAGTGATGTAAAACATCTGTGTGGCAGACAGCTGCAAAGGTTGGAAGGGAACTTTTGTGGGAAAAGAAGTATGCTGATTTTTGCTGGCTTCCTCAATAATGAAGTAGAAGGAACACTGGTAGTTTTCCAAGACCAAAATGTCTCCATGTGAACACACCTTCTGGAAGAACTTTGTGGAATAACCCAGAGTTGTGTTTTTATCTTTATGATATTCATCTGTAATACAGTCGTATTCCTTCTTAAGATGTCTTTTTGTAGATATTTGTGCTTTTAGAAAATTAGTTCCTTTTTTGGACCAGCTGAAACAAATGACAGAGATGAGCAGATACAGGGACTTAGGATGGAAGTCAGCTGTGAGCTTGACAGAAAAGCCACCCCACCCCAAAAGGAAGTCTGAGGCTTTTCTCTCCAAGTCATAGAATTAATTAACTTAATTGTAAGCACATTTTTGAAAATGGGGCTCTAAAATTATAGAATTTTTTTTCTTCCTGCAAACAAGGTCATATAAACCCTGACTTTGGAAGAAAGATTCCCTGAGAAATATTGCTATCTTTTTACCATGCAGTAAAGCTAGAGGAAGGCCACAGCAAGCTGTGCAGTCATAATTGACAATGACATACGTTTATTTAGTTTTTAAAATCTGAGTCCATTTTTAAAACACTATAAAAATATTTTCATAGCATTGTGGAGCCTTGCGAGCAGAGAGCTTGTCTTGGAACATAGGAAGACCTGATTCATAAGCCTTTCGTTTGGCCTTAGCATAATACCACCTTAAATTAATTTCATCAGTCATGGAAATACTCAGAGGAAATAAGTAAAATTAGCCTTTTTGTTGTTATTAATAATAATATGATTAAATTTTCTCTAATATGCAGTGTTCTAAAAGTTTATATTATGTTTCCATGGGAGCTTTCTCTGTACATATTTTTTATTATTTCCCCAAAGATTTCAGTTATAAGGCAAACATGAAATTTGGCAATGAAATGAGGTAACGGTGATGGAATTTCAGAGGATAGAGAATTGAATTAAAAGAAAAATAGTAGACCACATTTTGGGTCTTTAAGTTGTTCATGTCAATCAAAGTAGACCAATGCCTCTTCCAGGAAATGAAGGAAAAGAAAAAAAAGCTTTTCTTAAAAGGAGAGAAAAAAATGTATTTCACATGTTTTTAAAGTCCTCAGTCCTTCTTTGTTTAGTTTGCTTTAGTAGAAAGGGATATATAACAACAGACTTTAAAGAGTATTTCAGTGCACAGTAATGCAATGACCTCTTAATTTTTATTATAAAATTGAAAAATCTAGGCTTTTTAATGGCCTGGGGAACAGAACAGCTGGTAAGAGCACAAATGTAAGGAACCTATTATTGCCTTACTCTGATTTACAATAAAGTCACTCCATTTTATCATTAAATTTTGACAGGAAAAATGGAGTCAACAGGTATTCAATTTTACTTTTCAGGAGTTTCTATTTGGATATTAGAGTTTGGATAGATATTACACATCTTATCAGGGAGGACAGGCATTGCCATATACCCAGGGTTAAGTCATACAGGCTCCAGGAAAATGCTGCCTGTGGGGTTCCTGAGACTCCTAGTTCCTTGTGAGTTCAGTGCCAAGTAGTGTTTGATTTTCAAAAATTCTGATTTGTTTTTAAACAACAACCTTCATGTGCCAGGCCGATGTGTTGTCCCAGTGTTGAGGAATTCTGTTGAAAAAGTGGATGCTTTCATGAACAATTTAAACATCTTGAAGCAGGCCAGTGATTCTCCATAAATCTAGAAGCATTATAATGTAGCATTTCATGATGACAGGTTACTTTATATTGCCTGAGTCCATTCTTTGTCATGCCCAGGGTTGTTCAAGTGATTTGTAATTACAGACCTAAAATACATCATGTGGGTATTTTACTTCCTGTGTGCTTATGTTTCACACTAAAGAAAGTTGGGAACCAAGGCCTGGAAGAGGTACAAACATAGTGTGTAGAACATAGAACAAGGTGTAGGACTGCAACAGATGCCGGCCAGCCTCTGCCAGACATATTCGATGATTTATTAGAGACAAACCCACAGACTGGAAATGAAGATGAAGACGAAATGCCTAACACCTGGGACCAAATGAAGAGGCTATTAAAAAGTTTAATATCCTGTTTTTATGGAAGTCTCCACGTTGTGGACAGCATAATGGTTCCTGTGTAAGGCTGTTTCATTTGATGTGGCTTTTTTGTTGTTTTGCAGTCTGAGACACTCCTTCTCCCCTGAGACGATGTGCAGTTGAGAAAGAGGGGCTGCATGGAGAAAGCTAGCAGCAGGGTACCTTAGCCTCCAGGATGATAATAGCACCACATTTTCCTTCTAGGTTTCAACTTGCTGCTGTAGTTTCCAATCAATAAACTATTTATTGTGTCCATACTCTGCATTTATACTTTCTTGGCCCTTTCATTTCCTAGAACTACATAATATTCATTTCCTTTGAGAACAATCTTTCCTACCTGTGAGTAGAAATAATGGTAACCCTTATCCATGACACAACTTACCTGTTTGTGACTATTAAGTGTTCAATTGTGTGTCTTTGGGTTACTGTGTTTAGATTCTTCTTCCTTCCCAAAATACTTTGGCCCATCCCAAAATACAAACACTGGACATGCAGCTTTTTAATGAGTGACTTGTCTAATCAACTCTTTGAAATTATTTTTCTAGCTAAACAGAATATAACAGAGGCTACAACGATCGATTTGAAAATCCTCGCAGAAACTGCATCACCCAGTTTATCCAGAGAACCACAAGTGGTCCTCGATGGAATGACACCAATCATCCCTTTAGTCACTGAGTTACCTTTTAGCACAAAAGAGTTCCCTCCTGCAGGGAATATGATCAAGTTTGGGCAGAAAGCCACGGTCCAAACTCAGGCTGTCACAAACCTCATAGCCACTGTAGCACCTACCACTCATGCTGAGAGTGTGGAGAGGCCTTGGGAGATGGACTACTACTCACCTTCTGCCTCTGGACCCCTTGGAAGAGCAGATATATCTGAAATTAAGGAAGAAGGACTCCAAAGTACAACTGTCGTCTCCCAGCATGCCACTGATTCTTGGGATGAAGTAGTGGCAGACACTCAAACACAAGAATCTGTGACACAGGTTGAACAAATAGAAGTGGGTCCTTTAGTAACATCTATGGGAATCTCGAAACACACTCCGTCCGAGGAATTGTCTGTAACCGAAGCAACATTTGTATCCACAGAAATAAAACTGGAATCCAAAACTGAAGATACAACTGTAAGCACTATTCCTGAATTGGTGAGCACAAACCACTATGGATTCACCTTGGGAGAAGACGGTAGGGAAGACAGAACACTTACAGTCAGATCCGATCAGAGCACCTTGGTCTTTCACCAAATACCAGAGGTGATTACAGTATCAAAGACTTCAGAGGACTTGAAGTCAATGTCAGTACCCACAGTTGTTTTACCTGTAACTACCGCTGACCATGATGGATCATCCACAGACAGCTGGGAAGAGAAAGAAACAAATGGTCTAGTAACTGAAGATATGTTTGGCCCATCTCTGTCTACTACACCTTTCCCATTGCAGCATCTTACAGAAGTAGAATTATTTCCTCATTCTGGTGATAAAGTATTAGTAGAGGGAATATCCACAGCTGTTCATCCTTCAGCACAGACAGAAATGACACAAGGGACAGAAAGAACAGAGACACCAAGACCAGAGGGGAGAACTGACATTTATACACATTTTGGGATACAAGAGAAAGTCACAAAAGAGCCCTTTACAGGAAACATGGAAGAAGAATTCTCTGGGATGAGGGTCTCTACATCCTCCTCAGAGAAAATCCATTTTACAGAATCTTCTGTGGAAATGACCAAAGCTTTTGATTCCCCAGCATTGACAACAACAGAGTTAGGTGTGAAGCCAACAGTAGCAGGAGATATGGTGGAAGAAATGGTGCAAACTGTTGGTAGACCAGATGCCTCTCAAGATACTCCCAGGCATGATGAAGATGTTACAGCAGTACATGAGACCCACAGTCTTTCAAGTGTGGAGGTGGTCACTGTATCAAAATGGTTGTGGGATGAGGATAATGCAACATTCACATTTTTAGAGTCCACAGGACAGACAAGCTCTCCAAAACAGCCCTCTCTCTTAGTTACCCCTAGGGGAACAAATGGAAAGGATGATGAATTACCAGCTTCCACAGAAAATGGAAGAGATGGATTTACTCATTTTGCAGACAGTACTCAAAAGCCAATAGAAAAATTTGCTGAGGAAGACTTGACAGATGATAGGAAAGTCACAGTGAAATTACAGCCAACTACATCAATAGTTATTTCAGAAAAGTCTACCTTGAGAGATTCTGTAACTGAAGACAGAGTTCCACCTACCACAAGCACAGAAGGCCAAGTTATTTCTTCCACCACAGAAGGAAGTGCATTGGGTGAAGGAGAAGATGTAGATGTCTCTAAGCCATTGTCTACTGTTCTCTCATTTGCACATACCTCGGATGTGGGAGGATTGGCATTTATGAATTATAGTAGCACGCTGGAACCCACTACTTATGCAGACATTTCCCACACCATTCCTCTCCCGGTGAGTCCCAAGACAGACTGGGGAGAGTTAGCTCCTCCTGCTGTGTCAGAAGGTGAGGTTCTCACTGAACCCTCTGAAGAAGTCATTGAACAGCCTCACCTGGAAGCAACAATGGCTCCTGAAACTTTGAGAACAACAATGGAAACCATGCAGGAAACAACGCAAGAGGAATTCATTTGGGAAGAACGAACAGCCAGGAGACCAGATCATGTTCTCACCTCTACTGCAGCTGTGTCCACAGAGGCAACAACGCTGCTGGACGAAGGTGAGGGTGAAGGGTCAGCATACATGGTCCCAGAAGGTCAATTGGTCACAAGTGTTGAGAGAGTCCCAGTTTTAACAACAACTCCAGTTGGGAAAATGGAGCATCCAACTGCGACTGTAACTGAGCACAAAGTGGAACTGGAGGAAATGGTCACAATAGTACCGAGCACCAAGCCGGAAGTATTTCTAAGTCCAGAGCCTGAAGAAAAATATGAAGCCGAAAGTAGTACTCCAACACAATTCACATCACCCTCAAGTCCCTTTGGCACCCGTGTCACCCCACTTACAGAGGAAATCACTACTGAGAAAAGGGAGAAAACATCCCTGGATTATATTGATTTAGGATCGGGATTATTTGAAAAGCCTGAAGGCACAGAATTACCACAGTTTTCAACAACTAAAGCAGCAGTTCCAAGTGATATCACTCCTGCATTCGATGCAGTAGACAGACGTCACCCAACTTCAGCATTCACGCCATCTTCAGTGCCCACTGAGGAACCATCTCTCATCGACAGGGAACCTAGAGAGGGAACCACTCAGGACATGGTGCTCCTTGGAGAATCCACATCTCACCCTTCTTCCACTACCCTTGCTGATCTCATAGCTAAGGAAAGGGAAGCAGATATCGACAGAGAGTATTTCAAGACTGCAAGTCCTCCTTCTACACCACCCCAAAGACCACCCACAGTGGAAGGCAAAGAGGCCTTCAGACCTCAGGCAATTTCCACTCCACAACCCCCAACGGGGACAAAATTCCATCATGACATAAATGTGTATATTATTGAGGTCAGAGAAAACAAGACAGGTAAGTCTTTGTTTTCTAGACATACCTTTCAAGGCAATCAGAATTTTACCTTGAAAGCTACTTTTGGGGAAAGAAATAATCAACATACCAAACACTGTCATTAGAAGATGCCTGGAGTGTGAAAAATATATATTAGCTTCATATATTAGTACAAGAATTGGAAGAATATGTTAAACAATTTGGAGTAATGTTAGATCCAATTTTATTTTCAGTCATAAGAAGCCCTGCTTTTTCATCTAATATAATCAAACCATCATGTTACATCACTTCAGATAATGCACAACAAAATGTTTTAATTTCAGTGTCTTCCATACATTACTACTCCAGCGTAGCACTAGACTGTTTTAACATTCCATCGGTCTGTAACTATTAACCTGTAGTACTTACAATGTGAACAGCTAAAATAATTTTTGCGTATGCCTAGTGGGGGACAGAAAGACATCCAAAGGTTTGCCTTGGTTTTTCCCTTTCAGGATTTTTTAGGTTTATTATATAACTTGGGTGGTTAACAAGTCTGTACTTTACATGTTATTTTAATGAAATTCAACATATCTTTAACCTGTTGATCTTTTGAGTATTTTCCCTGTGGCTTTAACTATTTAAAACACATGCTATCTAGTTTAGGTGTAGGCATTGCTATAACTGTATCAGATATAATTCCAGAAGGTAGATATGTAAGTACATATTTGTGTCCAAAAACCAGGCTGTAATGTTTATATTATAACTTGATTATTTAATCTCTAGGAATATTTATGGTGCCTTCTATTTCACTCAAATATTTTAGCTTTCTGGCAGAATTCTTGAAAGCTCTTTGTTGACATTGATTAATATTGCAATCGTCACTATCAAACAGCTTATTTTTGCCTAAGGGTGAGATCATACCATCTTTTACATGTGGTCATCTGGGTTGAGAATATATAGCACATACAGTTCAATGGATCAATTCAGGTTTGCTCATTTCTTTTTAATTTAGAATTTAAGATAATTGATTTTAGCAGGGTATTATATTCTAATTAATAGAAGTAAATGAATAAACATCCATTTTTTCCTTGACCTGGCTCTGAGAAGCCAGACTGGAAAAACATCTTTTGACATCAGAGTTTCTTACTGATGAAACCCTCTGCTTGGGCATTGTTTCCTGAACATCGATGCCGTCTGTAGTAGCTGCTCAGGAGTACACCCAGGGAATCAGGCAGGGGGCTGTCATGTCAAGCCATTTGGCAACCATCATGATGGGTGAGGATTTCGTTGCTTTCCTAGGCCTCTGCTGTCTGGGGTGGTGTTAGTGGATTCATGAGGTATGGATGGCAGAGAAGAACATACCTTCCACGTGTTAAGAGTGCTGATCTCTACTTCTCAGTACAGTTGAAAGAGCCTAGGATGGGAGTATGATTTTCTTGCTGATGGTGCTGTTCCTTGAAAGCTGTAATGTGGTTCCTCTTCTGTGTTCTATCCCTCAGAGCTGAAGTACAAAAGAGAGCAGTTACCAAAAGGTGGAAAGAGGATTGCTGTTAGTAGAGCTAGAGAAGAGACAGAAAGATAGAATTGTAAAAAAAAGGTGCAGGTTGCTACAGTGAGCAACTTCATTGAAGATAACAGTATATAATGTAGCAACTGCTGTTAACTCCTATCATTTTGTTTTGAGGTCATGTATTGATTTTGTGTTTTTGTGTTGTTTTGATTTTCTCTTCATCGTTATTTTGTTAGTTTCTTTAATTTTTAAAATAAAGGTGAAGGGAGAAGTAAATTATTACAAAGGCTTCATTTGAGAATTTGAAAAGTACTTCAACTACTATGTAGAGTAAATTTTTCTCAATTTACATTACTGTGTTCATATAGATATTAAGTTGGTCTAATAATAAAAAACATTAAAAATGTTCTGCATCTAACAACTCTGCTAAGCAGGAAATTGAATGTTAAGATTAGGCCAATCTATTACAAAATGGAAAAAATGAAACTCTTCCTAGAAGAGTTGGCTGTCATCAAGAAAAAGCATGTTTATAAATGGTTACTCAAAATGGATCTGTGTAACCTAACCCTGAAACAGTTTGTATGAAGGTGTGTTTAGGTGTGTGGACCTAGAAGACGTGAAGAAGGGTTTTTCTTCTTTTTTTCTACTTCTAAAACATGGAACTATCCTATGCCTTCAAAGTAATGTTGTTTTGTATTGATAATAATTGGCCCGAAACCTGCATGGAGTACTTGAGTACTTGCACTAGGCAGGATTCCAGTGTGTGTGTGTGTGTGTGTGTGTGTGTGTGCATGTGTGTTTGTGTGTAGTAGGGTAAATTGAGCATTAGAGTATCTGTGGATTAACCTATCTATCATCTCTATTTTCCTGTGTTCTACATATGCTGTTCTTAGGACAAACTACATTGTTTATTGTCCTCCTAAAACACTGAGCTCACTTACTCTAATTTCATTTATTTTCTCTGAGAAATTCAGTTTTCCAACATTTTGAACTTTAGCAAGGAAAAGCTCTACCGCAGATGTACAATTAATGAGTTGTAAGGCAGGTGCATGTGTTAATAGGGAAAGGGCATGTATGCCTGGAAAGCCAACCTTTTTATGTATCAAGGAACATTTTTCCAGACTGGAAAATCTTTGATGCATGTGTGAACTTGTGTAAATCAATTCATCTGAGTAGAATTGACCTTTACATCTACTGCATATCTATGTAAGCGAAACTACCACCCAAGCTACACTACACCAGGGCATTCATGGTTTTTCTTCTGTACTCAGCAAGTTATATAAATCTTGGTTTCTTTTTTTTTAAGTACCATGAAACAAAACATGCTACTCAGGGCATGCTTATGCTGAGATGGGGATCTTAATAACAACTTAGGGTGCTGTTGCTGAGGGCAACGAGAGTTAGCAGTTCACAAAATCTGAAGGAACTTTTCAGCTCATAAAAGTTTTATGAGCTGAAAAACGCTATGGGGTGTGTTTAATCGTGGTACAGTGGATGCTGAAAACTACTCCTGTCTGTTTCAGGAGTAACTTGCACACCTGCATGTGGGAAAAAAAAAATCATCGAAAGGTTTCTTTGTGAACATGTATCCAGGCTCTGGGGTTTGGAGGTGTAGGAAGAGTTTCTTCAATTCCAGAACTTTTTGTTGAAGAGTGCTCCAATAAATCACCAGAAATGATACAAGTTAATGTAACAGAATTATAAATGATTTTTAAAACTGGTATACTGGGGCTGGGGATTTAGCTCAGCGGCAAAGCGCCTGCCTGGCAAGTGCAAGGTCGTGAGTTCGGTTCCCGGTACCGGAGAAAAACAAACAAAAAAAAAAAAACTGGTATACAGCTACCTTTATGTCAGAGAATAATCTAGAAATGTATAGATGTTAAATACCAACATTACTAAGGTTTGCTGGATATGTTCTTGTTAGCTTCTTTTTATAAAACTGGTTTTACAACTTACATCTACCCAAATCTAAATGTAAGGCAGGTGTAAAACTGATATTAAACTACAATGATTTAAAGATTGAGATATGAATAAAATTGTTAATGTAATGATGTTGCAGGATAGATTTGGAAAAAGATAACATTGGGCTTCTGAATTAGAATTCATTTTGCGCAGTTTATTTATGGAGGAGTGTAATTTATTGTTTCTGTCATTTTGAAATAACTTCCATCTGATTAATCTGCTCTACATTGTATACCTGAGAAATTTATGTAGAACTCAAAGTTTATTTTCTGAATATTGTGGTATTACGCAGAGGGACACTGGCCCTGAGAGAGGTGAAATCTGGCAAATACCCATATTTATATCATGATTGTGTAGTCACTGCTTTTTAAAAGGTAATGCTTATGCAAGATAATTCATGAACCAACTTAGTAATATCGCAAATTTTTCATTTTTGTAGAATCTCTTTTGTAGGAATTTCTTATATAGAAAATTATTTTTGAGATATTTTTATTAGAAAGTAAACTCCTTTGTTCAACAATACCTTCTCCATTGCCCCTGTAGATTGATAGCAGAGTATGGATACTGGTTGATACGTGAGGGGACAGACAGGAGCCCGTCTCTTAGGCCCTCTGCCTCTTCTCTTCTGGTACTTTCTAGAAAAGTATACACCTCAAACACACAGCTGGAAAGAAGAGTTGTATTGTCTCAAGCAGAAATATTGATGTATTCCTGAATGAACTGATTTTTTTTTTAAAGAAAAATGTCTTTAAAATTGTCCTCATTGTCAATACCTTTGTCCCAGTGTAAGGATACACACATTAACATTTGCCTTTGGGTAGTTGCATGCATGGTGCTACTAAACTATTAAACAAAGGTAGTTTTGATCTTATCGACACATATGTGTCAGCAAGATCATATGGAGTAACAGTGCCGAGTGTCACATGTATGTGTAGGACTAAATCTCCCCCCTGTCACTTAGGGCTCTCTGGACTGTCAGATCACTTTTTTTCATACAGAACACCTTTTAAACTCAGATGCAAATCTAGTGAAAGCAGACACACTGGGTCTGACTCTCTGGGCAGTGAGTCCAGTAGCCTTGGTGCTCTTAGAAGCCTTTTTGTAGTGAAGTGACTTTCTCTTCTGATGAAAGAAGACACAGGGACCTGCTCCCTGCTGGCTCCACTGCCTCCATGTCCATCTGTTCCTGAAAGAGCAAGAATTCTGGGAAGGCTGTTTTCCCAGCAGTTGTCCATCGGTTTGTGAAGAGTGTGTGGTTTCAGTTTGGGTACTGCTAACTCAGGGACTGTGTTTGCCACACTCAGATACTGGCACGGGAAGGGAATCATGTGCTGAAGTTGGTAAGCTGCTGTTCCACAGTTCTGTGTCACTTTTTTTCTACAGAATTTTGGGGCAGTTAGGGGGCCCCCGCTGTTGTGCTCCACCTATGGCTTACTGCCCAAGGCCCTTGTGTATTTTTGCAATGAATTAGGATAGTTTTCCCCATCCATCTTTGGCTGCCCTGAATCCTCAAAAAGACTGTGCTCCTGTTCTATTATTCAAATAATGTTAAGGTAGAGATTGCTTA